TCTGATATCTCTGAAACTCAGGGACATAATTTTCCGATGATGAATTTTTGGCAAGAGTTTCGCCACTTTGATTTGCAATTTTAGACTTGTCAGTAATTAAGTTGTCACCATCTTTAAGATGGTGAACAGCAGATTTTGAACCTTTGCCTTTAATTCTTTGAACCATGTTCCATACTTTAGACATTGGGGTGCGTATATTAATTTTTGAGACATAATTTCTCCAAGATTGTAGTTTGTTTTGTTTAAAGGTACGACGCGCCTTTGCATTGAGTATTTTAAATTTATTTAAGTTATGGACAGTTGGATGATGGCGGAAATAATGCTCTGCCTTTTTAATGCTTTTCTGGCTTGTCTACAATCTGTATTAAACCATGGTTTTCGTACGTGTGGAGTCGTAGAGGACTTTGGTATACACCCATCAGCTATTTCATTTCAAACGTCAGCAAAAGTTTGAATGGGATCAGTTATATCACTGAAACATTCAGGTTGCAGTTTCGATTTACAAATAGTTTGATATACAGACCAGTTAGCCTTCGAAAAGTTCCATCTTGTTCAGATGGAGAATCAGATGGAGTTATTTCTGAAAGGATAGTTGGGAAGTGGTCACTTCCACAAACGTCATTATGAACAGACCAATCAAGTTCATTCAGGAGGTTAGAATCTGCAAGAGACAAATCCAGAGAAGAATAAGTGCCAGTTGCAGGATGCAGATAGGTGCTTAAATCATCATTAGATATGCACAGGTCATTATTGGAAATGAAATCTTCAAGTTTTTTGCCTTTAGTATTAGTGTTAGTACTGCCCCAGGATGGGTTGGTACCGTTTAGGTCACCCATAATAACACAGGGCTTCGGGAGTTGATCATAGAGTGACTGAAGATCAGTCTGCAGAAGTGCCGATGAAGGCGGAATTTATAGAGAGCATAATGTAAATGCTACACCCAGAGTAAGTCGCACTTCGACAGCTTGGACATTAGTGTTAAGTGTAACAGGGCTGTGAATAACATCCTGTCGTATAAGGATAGTAGAACCTCCAGTGGCTCTCCAGAGGGGAAAAATAATGATAAGCTTTAAACTGACGTAAGTTAAAATGATCTGTCTGTTTCAGATATGTCTCTTGGAGACAGAACGCTGATGGTGTTAAATCCTGGATTATGAGCTGTATTTCATTAAAATTGGTCCGTAGTCCTCTACAGTTCCACTGGACGATATGTCTTGAAAAACCTATCTTTTAGGTGGATTGATAGGGGATCTACCCCGCATCTTTTTGGAGGGCGACAAGCTGTGTGCCCTTGAATGGACGTTTTCGGACACGTCCATGTCCTCGAGGGATCCATATTTGTTAAATAATTGAATTTTATCGCCTGACCCCTTTTGGGGCTCTGTCACTTTGTTTCTTCGAAAAATCTGGCTTCGGTTTGCTTTTGTTTTTACGATGTGTTGAACGTTAGACGTAGATTGAGACCTTTGAGTTGACTGAGAAAATGTGTCACGGTCATAAGATTTACTTTTGGTTGTAGTGATACCTTGTTGAGACCTTGTTGACGGCTGAGAAGAAATTTCATGATCAGGGGATGTCTCTAATTGTATTTGAGATGTATCTGGCAGTGATTCTCCTGTTTGAGTAGATGTAGTAGGTGAGAGAAGGTTAGGAGAATCCGTTTTCACCCAAGTCAAGTTTGTCTGACAACTTGCAGATACTGTAACTCCTCTAGATGTTGTTTCACGCGATCTTCTGGCAATGGAAGAATAGCTTTATGATTGTTCTGAGCTTAGGACTTGTCTTTTCACCACAGTGAGCACACACAACAGACAATGTGCAAGTATTTACATCGTGGCCAAACTTTTGATATTTGAAGCACCTAAGTGGGTTTGGAATGTATGTCTCAACATTGAGGTTACAATAACCTGCCTTCAGTGAGTTTGGTGCATTAGGGAGAGAAAAGGAAAACAGATACGTGTTGGTTTTAATCGTTGTGTCGTTTTAACGGGTTGAGAAACGTTTAACATAGAGTACACCCTGATCCTTCATCTCGGAGACGATATCCAGTTCCGACATGTCAGCCAGCAATCGCTCACGATCTCTAACAATTCCCTTGCTCTTATTAAGGGTCTTGTGAGCCATGCCGGTGACAGGAATGCCGACAAAAGTTTCGGTGTTCAATAGGTTGGTTGACTGTTGTCTTTTACCACACTCAATCAACAGCGCACCAGAACGTAATCTTTTAATGTTCTTCACATCGCCGGCAATGCCTTGGATACCCCTAGACACAGCAAAAGGGTTCAATTTTGATTGGTTTGGGCAGTCTGAGGTCGTTATCAACAAGGTCAATTTCAAGAGGACGTTTGTTTTTTTTGGTTGGGGTTTCATAAGCCATGGTTAGTGTTTAGATTTCATCATCCTAGCTCCCCACCCAACACGGAGTATCACAAGGACAATGCTAAAAACAAGCGGATCTCCGACTTGCAGCACCAAGGATACTCGGATGATATACTCAAGCGGAAAAACTAAAAGTTAAATTTTCCCGCCAGATTGGCCCATGAGCCACCGCCTTCTGGCATACGACTCTAGGCAAAAACACATATGAAATTATACTGATTTGGAATCATTGATTCAAAATAGTTTGGCCAAGTCTGAAATATCAAATTAAAATTTTTGATTAATTTTGAGCATCACGTAGTTGCAGCACAGGGCTTGGCGTGACCAGCCGATTGGTTGAACCGGGCCCATTCAACCACCCGTCTAGGTGAAGTAAGGGGCGAAGTGGTGTGTTGGGCAAAGGAACACTGTTCCTGGAACCAGTGCCCTCAACCACCAGACTCCCGTCCTCCACCGACACAGGGGCGCAACCCACGGCAAACGGGTTGGTGGACCAAATATACCCCCGGGTCCACACGGGGGGTTGAAGAGCTCTTAGCGTTACCCAGCACCCACCACGAGGAGGTCGCTCTTCACGGGTGCCCATTGTGAGGTACATGACAATGGACATGTGTTCATTAAACATGACTTCATGCAGTAGTTTCTTGGGCTTTTTCAACAGGTGCACAAAGTGTTGTGTAATAATTTTCAAACTTTGAGAAGTATACCATTTACACGTAAAGACCCAGCGATCTTGTGAGTGATGATATGTTTAGGGAACGCTGGTTTGAGGATCACTTCAACAAATGCGAGTACCGAGGGCAGGAAATACGCGACTTTTAGTGACACAGCCTCAGTTCCCGTTCATCACTGATACTTCATCGAATAATATAGGTCGCGTCCTGGTCCAATTATATGCAAATAAAGGTCCAATTACATATAAATAATGATCCAATTACGTGTAGATATTTGTCGCAGCTTTTCCCCTAACACAATCCAGTGGCTATGCCCTGGCCCCGTGGTAGATGTTGAAATTGGTTTGCATTTAATTTATTCCAGAAGTCTACATCACGTAATCTCTACGTCTTGGAATGATTTATAACAGAGTCTAATGTGTCAACACAAATGCAGTTTTTCTTATTGAGTGATAGTCCTGAAATAAATAATAATAGTGAGATTTGTGAAAAAATATCTAGTATTCAGTTGTCACAGAATCCATGGCAATATATGTATCTGTTCCAGTTTGTTCATGCAACAGTTGAATAACCTTAATAAAACTTAACAGTTAGTGTTATTCCACTCTAACAAGTTCAACATCTTCAAATGGATGTCGGACAACTGGTAGTCTAGACTGCGGACTCTGGGTACTAGTGTCATTCTGATTAGTGTAAATTGACACGGCTCCCACGATCGAAAGCTGTGAATACATAATGCCATTAGAATGTGGTGAAATGCAACATATGTTATATTTTAGATTACACTTTCCTTACGTGCCTGACTCTGAGGGTGTGGGTTCGAATCCCGGATGGGACTCAACCCAACAAAAGTACTAGAATCTGTATTTAACTAAGAACGTGTAATCCCAAATATAACATATGTTACATTTGACCACTTTCTAAATGTCATTGCGTATCCACGTTCAGCATCTTCAAATGGATCTCCATATAAACAATCAAGAAGATGTGTCCTTGATAACTATATTCACGGTTCTATTCAAATCCGGTCAACCCAATTCAGCACCTATAAATTGTATTACCAACTCTAGCGAGTTGAACTAGGAACAAAAAATATTACTCAGGTAACAGATAGTGGATCTGAACCTCGCAGAGCGTATGATTGTAGCTGTGAGTGAGTGAGTGTGGTTTTTACGCCGCTTTTAGCATTATTCCAGCAATATCACGGCGGGATTGTGAGGAGTGAGTGAGTGAGTGTGGTTTTACGCCGCCTTTAGCATTATTCCAGCAATATCACGGCGGGATTGTAGCTGTGAGTGAATGAGTCTGGTTTTACGCCGCTTTTAGCATTATTCCAGCAATATCACGGCAGGATAGTAGCTGTGAGTCTGGTATTCTGAAACACTACTTCACCTTACATTCATAACATAACTTTAGATTATGTACTCTTGATATAAACAGTCCACTTCACTAATGTTATTTAATGTCAAAGTCTCTTGATGATGAAGGTCAAGGGCTGCACAAATCAAACATTTCTTTGTTTTAACTTGGGTTTGGTTTAGAATACGTCAGGACGTTGGGGATATTATCATGTTTATAACATTAAATAACATTCGACTTTCTGATAATCTGCTACTCTACACAAACAAATAACAGATAACATGAATATAAATGTTTCAACTGCATTTAATATATGTCACTTTTACACGTGGAAGCATCTTGTAATGCTGTTCCTGTAAATTTGAGAATGTGTTCAGAAGATTTAGATGTAGAAACTTTGGACCAATTTCAAACATGAAGGACAGGAAAATACATTGATGTATCACACGATTTATGATTATAGCCTCACTGTAGTCATGATGGCCAAATGTAAATCAAAGATAACGTTCATGTTTCATGCAAACAGTAGATGAAACATACAGTACGCTACAGTAGGTGAAACATACAGTACGCTACAGTAGGTGAAACATACAGTACGCTACAGTTATAACTAACTGAAATTATCACAAGATTAGTTCACCATAACCGTATACACCTTCTGACCAACATACAGAAACAATATATGGGTCCAAGGGGACGTTTGTCCCCATTTCGCTATCAGTTCGTTCGTCATAAACATGCTATACTGTATATTGGTTAATATATCTGAAAAGACATGCTAAACACACTTAGTTCTCTGTTATAATGAACACGCAAGATGAATGAACAATTAGTGATCTCTGTTTATACTTATTTAACAAGCGATAAATCAGACATTCTCTTAATGTTTCAAGAGTACAAGAAATTATAACTGTGTCTGTGGTACACGTGTGTATACGTATGTGATGTAATTGTCTACTTCATACAAAAAGGGTGTCTGGCTACAACGTAGAATACTTTCTTTTAGTATCTATATATTATAGCTTATGGAAGTGTTATTTGTGTATTTCTGTATTTTGTAACAGTAACCTCTATATTGAATGTGTTGTCTTGTCTAATAGTAGTCTACTGAAATGAGTAACATTGAGTAACATTGTATAAAATAACACAGTATAATCATCCTTGTCCAATCTCCATCCACAACAACAAGGAGAGCGGGCGGGCAAAAGAAATATATCAAGATATGAAAAATCCAAAAATATCCTTGAAAACATAATTGTGCAACTGATTTTATGAAAATTAATCACTAAGCAAATGTCATTGAATGGATTCATGATGTGTATCTTTGGAAATCATTTTAAATAAATCCACATACAGCAAGATCGAGGAGATCTATATTTCTATTAGTGTGCAAGGGTAATTGGTTTTTACACCGAGGCAAACATTGCAACAGCAGCGGGAAAAATTGGGATAAGAAACCTTTTCTTTAATTTTGTTCTGTTTATGGAATGAAAGTTCAGGGTGGGAGAGGAGAAACCAAGAAAAGTAATACAGTCAGCCTTGCTCACAACTAGGAACAGTTGTTAGGATCAGTTAACTCATTCTCAAGAAATTGTTTCTCTTCTGCCTCTTTCAAATCAGCGTCTGTTTGTTCCGATACAGGTACCTCCTTAACAACTCCATATTTAAACAGAAGAAACGCTGCGAGGTACGAAGCAGTTGATAGTGACTGCAGACCAATGTCCATGGCTTTCACGCGATACCGCAGGTTTGAAAGATCATAAAGGGCGCATGCGCCAACTTCACCACATTCAGTCTGCCATCGCGTACAACAGCTGTCGATGACCTTTCCATACACCACTGGCGCTGGGAGAAAACCTGAATATAGAACAACTATTTAAATAGCCTATCAGGGCAACAGAGGTGACGAACGTCGTCTCGGTTGTAACAGAGCAAATAATCATGTGATTGTAACCGTCATGGTTACCTCATCACTGAAATCGATTATCGGAAAAAAGTCCTCGGTAAAAGGTCCTTGGTAGAAAAGTACTGGTAAAAAGGTATTGGTAAAAAAGTCCTTTTGTAGTAAAAACCTATTTATTTATTTGACAAGATTGACATCAAATATTTAAAAAATAGAAGAAATCAACTTTTATGACAAATTACATTTTTAAATTGATGTTTGATCTTTTAGACGACACCTAAAGCAACATGATGTGCTCACAGATTAAATATCTAAACTGATCATTGATCCGTAGTAAAAAAATATTCAGTTATATATTTGACAAGATTTAAAAAACACACACACGAAGAAATCACATATAATGACAGATCGCATAAAAAGGTATTGGTAAAAAAGTCCTTTTTGTGTATTTGATAAATTGACATCAAATATTTAAAAAAAGAAGAAATGATTTGTGACAGATTAAATTTCTAAACTGACCTTTGATCTGTAGTAAAAACAGTGTGCGAAGGCTGGGATACGAAGTTCTTTAACTTAGTCGGGTGGTCACCACCACCATCGAATTATACCAGAAGGAACAGACCACAGTAAGAACTGTAACTGCCTAGGACGCCATTGGAAATGTCCATGTGAAGAAAACCCAAACTGTCTTGATGAAGATGCAGAAACGTCTGCAGAAACTGTGAAGTGACATTGCCGCTGGAAGGAAGTCCATCCTCGTGTTTTTAACACGATGTGGCAGTGAACATCCGACTTTATAAATATCAGTAGGCCTAGACTATCTCATGTCATCATTTAGCTTATAACTCATAATGTTAACTGTACATAGTCATTTCGTATGATTTTTATATCAACATTTCAGTACGTCATTATGTCATAAGACCTATATATTTGTTGTATGTTCGAAAATGAAAAAATAAAAAATGCATTGTTTTTCAATACACTTCTTGTTAGAAAATGAAAAGGGGACATTAATCCGGAGGACCTTTTTATCTAGGCAAATTTAGGACTTTTTTACCGAACACCATAATGCCATAAGGCGTTATGGTCATTGAAACATTCTATATCTAATTAAACTGGGTCGGTGTTTCCGCTGTTTTCCTGAGCTATTTAGATAAGATATCAGGGCAACGGAATTCCCACGCGTCTTCACTTTCGTAATAAATCAAACAATCACGTGATTGAAGAGATAAATCTCTAGCTATTTTGAAGCGAGAGAAAAAGTATACTGTGTCGTACTATTTCCTGCTTTCAGCCAGAGATATGTTGCAGTTCACATACCTAACAACCCATTCAGGAATGACGTCAAGGCGACGGCCATGGGTTTATCACGCGGTTGAACTGTCCTGAAAATGAAATAACGAATATGTGAAACTGTTAAATCCAGTTGAATAATAATGCCATGGGGAATTTCATGTTGAATAAGTTCAATATGTCAGAATGTTTGCATAAATACAATAACAACTCTTTCAATATTATAAATGAACCATCGATAAGACACCCTCATCCTTAGCCTGAGACACAGTGTGTTTTGTTTGATAGTTACTGGGCAACTCTGCAATAGTCTTGGTATATGGCGGGTGTAATGTTTGTGTCAAAGTCAAAGTCAAAGTGATGACTCCGGCCGATATGTATGAGTGTTGCAGTGATACAGGAATGTTTTTGATATTTACATATATATTTAAGGGTATACAATTCGTTTTATAAGAAGATCTCTTTTTGCTAATGCATGCTTTATATACAAATACAATCGAACAAGAATATGTTCATTATTAGTCTGTAACAAAGATATATATGCATACATTGGTTGTTTTGCTAGAAAATGGTCTGGTATATATTTCTGCCTTACTTCGTGATAACAAGGACATAGCAGAGTAAAATGAATTTCATTTTCTATTTATACGTCACAGAAAGGACAATATCGACTTTCTTTCTTGACAGAGGTTTTCTGGCGTGAGTAACGTTTTAAAGGTCCTGTAATATTCATACCGAGAGCTTGATTCTAAGGTGGATTTCCATTCTTGTTTAAACGTGTCTGTTGATCTATCACGAAATTAATAAGCCTGTTCACATCGCCAATTGTCTGGCACAACCATATGACACCGAAACCGTGAGAAAATAATATATTTCTGATATCAGTTGTCCAAGTATGTTTTCCCATATTATCCAGATTTAACAGCATATTGTAAGCTAGTTTTGGCAGACGTTGTCCATGCATATTTCTGGGCCAGACAATACAGTCATGGATATCCTAAACATCGTTCTTTACCACTGGGATACGACGATATGCATTAACAGTTTTCAAAATCTGACCAGGTGCTCTTGTAATTGAACGAGCATGAGTTTCTAAGCCGAATTGTCACGGCTGTGTGTGTGATAGAGTGAAACCCTTACACATTATATTCGGTATCACCCGATTGCAATTTAGACTATTTATTATAAATAAAGTTATAATAAAATAAAGTTAATATTTGTATAGCGCCTGTTCCAACATATTGCTCAAAGGCGCTTAGGCGAAAGCTATGTTGAACAAGTTGGTTTTTAGTTGTCGTTTAAACTGGTCGAGATTGACAATGTTCTGAATGTGCCGAGGAAGACGGTTCCAGAGCCAGGGCCCGGCTTTGGAGAACGATCTATCTCCATAGTGTCTTTTCCTAGTCATAGGAACATCCAGTGCTCTTGATGGTCTTGACCTAAGCTCTCTCCCTGGAGTGTAGGTTGATAGGAGTTCACTGATATACTCAGGAGCTAGACCATGCAGGGATTTGAAAACAAACACCAGGATCTTGAACTGGATACGTTGTCTCACTGGCAGCCAATGGAGGTCTTGTAAGACCGGGGAGATGTGATCTCGACGTCTGGTGTTGGTGATTACTCTGGCTGCACTGTTGTGCACTCTCTGGAGTCTGGAGAGTGAGTATTCCGATGCCCCATACAATAGACTATTGCAGTAGTCTATGCGAGATGTGACAAACGCATTAACTAGAGTCTTGACTGCATCCGTACCAATATGCTTCTTGATCAAGCTGATGTTTCTTAGATGGTAGTAGCATAAGCTGCATACAGCATCGATGTGTCGCTCAGATGACAAGGATGACTCAAAAACCACACCTAGATTCCTTGCTTGAGAACTGGGGTTAACATCACAGTCACCAAGTTTCAATGGTGGGAACTGAAAGTTTGAAAGCAAAGATTTGGATCCAAAGATAATAAGCTCTGTCTTGTCGGCGTTGAGTTGGAGAAAGTGCGTGGACATCCAGTGCTGGATCTCCTTGACACAATCTACGATGGTCGCCTGAGCATTAGCAACAGAGGATGGGTGGAAAGGTCGGAAACCCATGTAGATCTGGGAATCGTCGGCATATAGATGAAATCCCAGATTGTATTTTCTGACAATGTCTCCTACAGGTAGGGTATACAAGGTGAATAGTATGGGACCTAATACCGAGCCTTGTGGCACACCGTATACAAGCTTCTGCTTCTGTGATTCTTTGCCGTCGATGATTACAGATTGGAATCGGTTGCATAGGTACGACTCAAACCACTTCAGAGCATCTCCAGTAACACCGAAACGAGTCTCCAGGAGGGACAGCAGAATGGAATGGTTGATGGTGTCGAAGGCTGCTGAGAGGTCTAGTAGCACTAACGCAGCTCCACCTTCAGAGTCGACAGACATTAGCAAATCGTTCTGGACACGTATCAGAGCAGATTCCGTACTGTGACCTAACTTGTAGGCTGACTGCATAGTCTCGTGTAAGTTTCCAGTCTTGAGATGAGCTTGGAGACGACTGGCTACTACACGCTCTATGAGCTTAGATAGAAACGTGAGGTTCGACACAGGCCTGTAGTTTTTTAAGGTATCAGGATCTAAACTAGGTTTCTTCAGGAGGGGTCTTATAAGTGCTTCCTTCAGACATGGAGGAACTTCACAACTTGTCAGTGAGAGATTTACAATTTGTGTTAAAGTAGTATAGATCTCATCTGCTGCAAGTTTCAGAAGCCATGTCGGTAATGGATCCAATGAGCAGGACTTAGTTGGACATTTCAAGAACACTTTCCTTATTTCGTCACATGTGGCAGGTTGAAAAGAGATTAGTTAAAAAACATGGAGAGATGCTTGATGATGTGAGTCACTGCAGATCTTGTCAGCATCTATAGCTTGATTATCCTCCAGTCGGGATCTGATCTTAAGGATTTTATCGTTGAAGAAAGACAGGAATGTCTCAGCCATTTTATCTGCAGAAGAGAGGGCTGGGAGGGTGTTGTTCTTTTTCCTGAACAGCAGATCGTTACTTGCACTTAACACTTCCTTCTGGGATTTCGCTTGGTTGATGACGCTGTTGTAGTATGACTGCTTTGCTTCATCTACAAGCTGATTGACCAGGTTGCGCTGAGAACTGTGTATCTGACGATCAATCACAAGTTTTGACTGTCTCATCTTGTGCTCCAGCATCCTACGGAGATTCTTTGCTTGACGAATGCTTTCATTAAACCAAGGTGTGCTCGGGCGAAGGTTCACAGTTTTTGTCTTAGCAGGTGCGTGCTTGTCGAGGGTCTCTGTTAGTACTCTGTTGTACTCGTGGACAGCATTAGTCATGCTGCTCATGGTGCCAATAGATGCCATACCAGATTCAATGTCTTTCCTGAAGTCACTGACATTGATGTCTTTCCATTTCCGACATATTACTTCCTGTTTCAATCGTTTGGGTTTGTTTAGATTTACTGAACACATTATACAAACATGATCAGATCTCACACTTTCTTCATAGACGAAGTTCCAGAATTGGAGTTCGTGAGACCGTGAGAGAATCAGATCCAAGGTGTGACCACTCTCATGTGTTGGGTATAGCACATGTTGGATAAGATTCCTTGAATCAAGAATCGAGGTCAGTCTTCTGGCAGATGGGGCAGTCAACACATCCATGTGAATATTAAAGTCGCCACATAGAAGTAACTTTCCGGGTTTGTTGTTCCGGTTATCGAGGAAATCCTGAATCTCCGAGAAGAATGCATCAAGTAAGCAACTCTTTGGGGGTCTGTAAATTACATTCATGAGAATTTTCTCATTGTCAATAACAGCCTCAACTGTCAGTGGTTCAAACGATACATGTTGTGAATAAGTATGAGTGATATCTGAACATTTGATATGGTCCTGAATCACAACAGCACAACCACCGCCACGTTTGCCAGATCTTGGTTTATGTATAAGACGGTAACCAACTGGGACAATCTTATTTCTTGCCAGGTGATCAATATTTCCTTCTCTAAACCATGTTTCAGTAATTGCTAGTATTTCTAGCTTGTTGTCGACAATCAAATCGTGTATAGATTGTGCTTTGTCTGAATTTACACTTAAGGCTTTTGCTGATCTTGCATTTATTAAACCAAATCTCAGAGGAGATTTAGCAATATTTGATAGTTTCACTTTAAGTGGGTAGTGGATTGTTGTCCGGCCTCCTCTTAACTGAACATATCCGACTGTCTCTTAACGACTTGAGCACAGTTGGAGACACAATATATTTGCCCCTATTATTGATACTCTTGCACACTTGTGAAACGTAAGTGAGTTGCATAACTCCAATCAGGCAGCCTGCAATCAAGCTGAGAGTGATCAGTTCAGTGGGCATGCCTTGTTAGGTAACACACACCAGTCAGTGATCGTCACTCAAGTGGATTAGCTTGTTGAAAACAATACCTATTGTTATCGTCTTCTGTGAGCTGTTCTAACACACACATGAATACTCAAGTTGAATCCAAGTTTTGATGTGGTTATTTCATAAATATGCCATCCAGAAAAGTGAGAAATGTCCTTATCTTGACGGTGCCTTCAGTTCTGTACATCTTCGTATACATCCTGAACAACATTAAGTACATCTCGATGACTTTAAACCAGAGAAAACCACACTTTTTGACAGAGCCTTCAAGGGAGCAGCCACCTGGCGCAAGCCCAAGCCCAATTATGACAAACCTCTAGTGTTGACTCATCATTTTGTCCTGTTGAAGCTATCAAACCCATTCCCTTAGAATAATAATATGCTTCCATATAAATACCACAAGAAAAAATGGTGATTTAGAAAAAAATACAATCCGTAAATATCACATTTACAAAAGTTATCAAATTTGGTACAGATGATATTTACAAAGCTTGTAAAAAAATTAGGAAGGATTTTTCCACTACTTTTTTTCATAGTTTCTCCGTTTCCCAATGATCCCCTGTTTTAATTTCTCTCAGGAGTTTATAGACTGAACGATTTCACGCGTCTTTTGTTCTATTTGAGTTCATATTGATGATATTCATACTGCATCTTGCATGTGAAATATTTATGCATGAGAACTGCACTAACAAGACGTATTTTAATAGTATCCATCTGTGCATTTTTATATTAAAGGTTTTTCAACTGCATCAACTAGGAACCAACTATATAGTAATATAACAAGGGACCGGCAGTTTGGGTTTGTACTCAGAACTTGCAAATCAGTTAGATACTTGGTTATTATGACAACAAGTTAGGCCTCTCTGACTTGACTCACTCATCAGTTAACAAGGGATTAGGCCTTGGGGCGTACAAATAACAACCAGTTAGCATTATACACCAGTTACCTCTCTTTGTACATATTAACAAACTTGTAAATTTTATAAATTTCATCTTTTAAAAATTGTAAATATCTTGTAAATCTCATCTTTACAAAATTGTAAATGTCTTGCAAATCCCATCTTTACAATTGATTTACAAGCTTGTAAATGTAGACTATTTTTGCAGTGTACATGTAATTTTAGGAACACCTACTTGATGATGGTCATGAGTACAGGAACGATGGAGATAGTCCCAGCCAGGCCAGCCACGAGGTCAACGGTGATGTAGGGATACAGGTAGGGACAATCTGTCGGGCACCTGCCTGCTGTGCCCTCGCCACCAGGAATCTCGCTACATCCAGTGTATGTCTGAAATGTTTAATATAAAAATACTGACCTTCAAAGTTTCTACGGGGAATGCCGCAAAGCAAATAAACTCCACTCAGACGGGGGACACCAGAAATGGGCTTTACACATTGTACCCATGCTATTTAACATAAAAACATTAATACGTTATAGTTACTATGTTATGTTTGTGTATGGTATATGCCTCCATCGTCGTAGAACTAAATATAAAATATCCACACCAGAAAATATTCAGAAGAAATATTCTGCTTATCAGCAGAAACAGAAATTTCATTTGACACATAAGAATAGCGACCCATGAAGATCCGTGTTAGAACTGATCTTCAGTAACCCATGCTTGTCGTAAGAGGCGACTAACGGGATCGGGTGGTCAGGCTCGGTGACTTGGTTGACGCATGCCATCGTATCCCAATTGCGGAGATCGATGCTCTTGCTGTTGATCACTGTATTGTCTGGTCCAGACTCGATTATTTACAGACCGCCGCCATATAGCTGTAATATTGCCGAGTGTAGCGTAAACCCTCCCTCCCTCACTCACTCAAACCCACTCACTCACAAAAATAATATATAGATGGGGAATAACAGAGATGGGGATACATACCGTTCCATTCTGAGACTGACAACCCGCCATACAGGGACTGATGTACGTCTCGCCGTCAGCTCCACACAGTGGCATGAATTCATCGAGGTCACACCCACAGTCGGTAGTGCTGGTCATGTTATGCCTGCAGAACGTAGTTTTGTCAAACTGAAGATGGATATAAGGTTTTATTCCCTGAATGAAGAAAGAAAGTAGGACAAGGCGACCTCGACAGATTCATTGTAATTGGATAATCAGTAGTAAACGTGCTCATGTAAATTGAGAACCGTTTTATTGGAATTACTTATTTTCATTTCGAAACCACACTTTGGGGGTGTACTAGCGGCGTAAGTGGTTCCCGAATATGCTGTTTGGATGTATAAATCTTTGGCTTCAGTTTGATATTGGTAGTTGCATTTTACAACTCACCTACACTTATCTGTCCATTGATGCATAGATGCATTGTACAACTCACCTACACTAACCTTCCCACTGATGCATAGATGCATTGTACAACTCACCTACATTTATCTGTCCATTGATGCATAGATGCATTGTACAACTCACCTACAGTCACCGGACACTTGATGCATAGATGCATTGTACAACTCACCTACATTTATCTGTCCATTGATGCATAGATGCATTGTACAACTCACCTACATTTATCTGTCCATTGATGCATAGATGCATTGTACAACTCACCTACATTTATCTGTCCATTGATGTATAGATGCATTGTACAACTCACCTACATTTATCTGTCCATTAATGTATAGATGCATTGTACAACTCACCTACATTTATCTGTCCATTAATGTATAGATGCATTGTACAACTCACCTACACTCACCAGCTCCTTTGATTCATAGACTTTTGTGTAACTTAGATTGTTAGAGGCTGTACCCTCAAAGGGGGTTGAAGTATTGTAAAATTATTGTCCTCCTGAGAGGGTACATAAGTCCCAATGCATTCACAGCAAATTTACACCTACTACTATTTTTAATCGTAGTATATGTGTTAGTTTAATCTATGGCTAGATTTATCTAAATTGCTAACGGCTGAAGGGATGGTGTAAATCCAGCTAGGTTCCGTGCAGGTAGCAAGAGTACTGTAAGTCCCCATGGTCCCTGGCATGGTGATCTAACTTCAGTTGTTGGCAATACATATAGCCTGATGTCTTTCAGTGGCATTTAGAAGTTGTACATTGATGTCCAAGATATTTTTATGGATTAAACTTCTTTTTAATTTCTCTCACGACGTTTCGAGACGATTCCAGGTCCCTTCATCAGGTGAACTGGCAGTTAGGACTATGACGTCGTCACTATGACGTCATAACTGAGTTATGACGTCACAATGCAAGTGACATCACAGTACACTAGGGAGAGTACTGTATAAGTGAGTTTGAAGAGTTAATTACATAATGATGAAAATTCATGCTAAATAATAGAGTTGAAAGTTGAATTGTCAATACACAACAACTGCTAATTACACAAAAGTTACTTGATAGCAGGCTTTCCAAAAAGAATAGTAGACTCGTTTTTCTTTTATCTAAAGTTCATCAAAAGTTAATCAAGAGGTCCCACGCACTTGGCAGGTATACACCTTGATCACGATTCATTGCTGGTTTATGTCTCCTTATCTCCACAGCCTCCTGTAGTTTTCCCGACGCCAGTCTCACGATAAATAGCATCATTAACCTTGCTACAACCTCTTTTGATTTCTCTTATTTCACATTTAATGACAAGATATATAGACAGATACATGGCCTACCTATGGGCTCACCATTGTCACCGCTTATCACTGAAATATATATGACCTCCTTTGAAGAATCTGCTCTCTCCACAGCACCCTTTCAACCTTTGTGCTGGTATCGCAAAGTAGATGATACGTTCACAACCATAGAAAGGCAAGACCCAGCAGAGCTAATGCAGCACCTCAACAACCAGCATCCGAGGATAAAGTTCACAATGGAGACTGAGCAGAACCGACAACTTCCTTTCCTAGATGTTGCCTTCCAATCTACAGACAAAGGTCTCGTCACTTCTGTGTACAGGAAGCCATCTCACACGGATCAGTATATCAATTACAACTCCTGTCACCACCCACAGATTAAACAAGCAATTATTGCTACTCTCACTAGAAGAGCCAAGTCGATCTGTCACCCCGATAATTAAAACAGTGAAATTGATTACCTCAAGAGAACCTTTACTGTCCTCAATGGCTACCCAGCCCGTCTTGTCTCCAGGACTATCACCAAAACGCTTGAATCATCAGAACCGCGCCTCAAGCCTGAACCATCCCAATCAGGATCACAATACCCTACGTGGGACCAGTCAGCCATCAGATAGCCCGAGTAATCAAGAGCAAAGCGAGTTTTGATGTAACTATCTCTAGCGGTACAACAACTAAGACACTCCTTCGGGCAAATGGAAGAGGATCTAGCAATGGAAGCCCCAACCCTAGAGGATGTGTATACCAAATACCATGCAGCTGTGGCGATCAATATATTGGCGAGACTCTCAGGCCCATTAACACCCGGGTTGCTGAACACAAGTCGTCAGTGTGCAAACAAAATGATAAGTCAGCTATATCGGAGCACAAGGCAAATAAGCCAAGTCATGTAATCATGTGGAATGATATCAGGGTGCTTCGAGAAATAACAACGACTGGCGTCGGAGAAAACTACAGGAGGCTGTGGAGATAAGGAGACATAAACCAGCAATGAATCGTGATCAAGGTGTATACCTGCCAAGTGCGTGGGACCTCTTGATTAACTTTTGATGAACTTTAGATAAAAGAAAAACGAGTCTACAATTTTTTTTGGAAAGCCTGCTATCAAGTAACTTTTGTGTAATTAGCAGTTGTTGTGTATTGACAATTCAACTTTCAACTCTATTATTTAGCATGAATTTTCATCATTTAGGGGATGTACTGTGTTTGACGAATTGGGGACGTATACCGGTGGTTATATAGCCGCAAATTTAACGTTATATCGGCTCCCGGTATACCTCCCCAATTCGTCAAAAGCAGTACAGTTATCCCCATTCTAATTCAACTCGTTTTACGCTGTATTTTCGTGAAAGAAATTCATTATTTAAACCAGGTCAAAGTTCCTCTAGGTCAAAGGTTAATCATATCACTCCTTGAACTTACACCATCGCCAGAAAAAGAAGTTCCCTTTTCAAACTACACATGTTTATTATGTGCACACAGACTAAATCTAACAATGATGAATAGATCATAGTATTATAGATAAAATGGAAGGAATTATGATGAAATCGCCCTCTAGTTCCAGAAACGAGCGGCCCGCTGATTCCTTAACTACGGGCCATTATCAGTTCTGTTGTCAAATGACGTCACAGCAGGTGACGTCACGCTCCATAATGACGTCATAATCTTGTTTCATGATCTAACAGTGTTGGGTCAACAGCCCGTTGCGAGTAAGTTGTTTGAACTTAAAATTAAATTTATGATACTATTTTGTCGTTTTTAACACAAATTCCACCATTTTAGCTGGATAGGGCAGTTAATTGACCTATGGCTTCTGCAAATGACAATGTCCTGCAAAGCAGCGTTACCCCAAAAGTGTAGGGATACATTTAAAGGTTTTGGTGAATCGGTTTTCAAATTGCGACCGTATATGCTGATTATACGGTCGGAAATTTATAGCATTGACCAATCAGAACTCGTGTTTCATACTAAGTTGAATTAGAATATGTAATTAACTCTTCAAACTCACTTACACAGTACTCTCCCTAGTGTACTACGACGCGTGGCGCGTGGTCCTGTGCTCAAAGCTCAGGTCACAAAACGGTGAAGTTAAGCAGCGTCGAGCTCGGAGAGTCCTTGGATAGGTGACCGTGTTTGGCAGCTTGACTCTTGAGAGTTTCTAGGACTTGAGTCCTGCCCCACAACGAAGCACATGTGACACATGTGGTCTCACCTTAGGCAAGTGAGTTTGTTCAAAATTGTCTCTGTTCACCCAGCAGGAAAATGGGTACCCGGTGGAAAAAAGTCATATGACTATAACCTTCTAGCGCCTAACAGGCAGCTTGGGTTATCCGGTGTAATAATGTGCTGTGCTTTGATTGTTAGCGCTATGAGCATACCTAGTGTGGAGTTTGGCGCTATATAAATGGACACATTATTATTATTATTATTTCTGTGATGTCACTTGCATTGTGACGTCATAACTCAGTTATGACGTCATAGTGACGACGTCATAGTCCTAACTGCCAGTTCACCTGATGAAGGGACCTGGAATGGTCTCGAAACGTCGTGAGAGAAATTAAAAAGAAGTTTAATCCATAAAAATATCTTGGAATACATAGCCTGCTTTTATATTGTGTTGTCCTCTATAGTTAAAGTACTTTAGTGTTAATTACTAGTTTTAGATTGAAATGTGTGATATACTAGTTGTTTTACTGTCCTTTGCTGACAGGTTTTTATAATTTACCTTTATTCATTGTAAAATTATAACTTGTTTCTGGTCACGATATGGCTGAAATATTGCCGATGTGACTTAAAATCTTAACTCACTCACTCACTCACTCATAGACTTTTGTACAACTAACCTACTCTCATTAGCCGCTTACAAACACAGACCCACTGAATGCCTCATCTACTCACAAAGGTCCATGGTGCTGAGACACATTGCTTGACTCACCTACTGTCACCCAGTCCCTTGATGCTGGGATTAGGACATCCAAATAGCAGCGTGAAAGCATAGGAGGCCGACGCGGCCAGTGTTACTATCATGGTCAGTTTCACACAACCCCTGTTGGTCAGCTTGAGTTTGCTGGTAAGAATACCACCGAGTAAAGTGCCTACAGTCGCCCAGAGAAATTCTTCTATACCTACAACATGGGCTTACACATACTGAAACAGTCGAAATGAATGACAAACAATTTTGGTTGTACATCGTGAAACACACTCAATAAGATTCGATCCCGTTCGAAGACGTCACTGTCGACCGACGTCCGGTCCTCTCATGTCTATATACCAAGAACAACTTAATATCATACTTGTATCCATCTCACAAACTATTACGAACAGTCAAAGTGTGTCAATACACCATATTTTGATAAGGACATCGAATGTGTCACAAGTGGCAAATCTCGGGTTCCTTTTGGCTGCTATTTAGTGTTAGTAAACCAGAATGGCCTTGAACCGGCAACATTTTCTTACCCACTATAAAGTTGGCTTTCGAAGCCTGTGTCCCAAACTGATTCTCGATGTATTTGGGGGCGAAGGCCACGTTTCCCCCGACGAAGAAGAGCACGCTGCAGTTTCCCAGCAACAAACAAGCTACCACCGGGTTCCGCATCACTCGCACCACCGATTTGGGTAAATCTACAAGTACAGAAGATGATTCTCTTGGTTGTGTACCCTACTGTGACCGTGATCGACGGTACTGTGGTACTCAGTGATAACGGATAGGAGTTTCTCGTACCTGACAGTTCTTCCTTAAGGGTGTGGCATTTGGCGTTTACGGGTCGTTTGGTGAGTTTCTTAATACGCTTTGGAAAGCAGCCTAAGGGAACAGCAAAGAGGAAGGCTGCACATCCAAAGACCAGGTACCCAATCCACCATGCCCCGATCCATTGTGGGTGAAGAGGATCCATCCGTGTGTCTTCAAAGCAAACAGTATAATAAGGATTAGACGGATAAGCCTAATAACGACTGCTGATATCCGATTTAGAATTGGTCTTTAGCATCCCATGCTTGTCTTAAATTGTGACTAACAGGGACTGCTGATATCCGATTTAGAATTGGTCTTTAGCATCCCATGCTTGTCTTAAATTGTGACTAACGGGATCGGTGGTCATGTTCGTTGACTGCGTTGACACATTCCATTGTATCCCACTTGTGTAGATCGATACTTATTATGTTAAAGGTGGGTTGTCAAGTGGTGTATTTTCCATACTCGATTATGTATGACACAGCTGGAGTGCTGCGTTATTCAACAAACAAACGGTCAACAATTGTTGATAAATACATGCTTGTGCAGGACTATAAGACATACTCACCACTAAGATCAACAGGTACGGTGCTTAAAACTCCACCTAGGCCAAGTGCAATAGCTGGGCCGAAGAACGACACTGTCATTATGATTCCTGCAAGATCATAGACAACACAAAACATAAATGTAAATGTCTGAAGTTTCAAACATCATTGGTTTGCTAAAGTGTTTCTCTTCACGTTTTCAGTTTCAAAATTAGAAATCACGCCACCTTGTCACTGGATTGTCTGTCTAAACGTTCTGTCACTGGGCCGCCTGGTCAGGACTCGACCAGTTTCCATGCCGACCTTGTATGAGATGTGCGTTGGTGCTATTATATAAATTGTGTAAGTAGTGCATGTTAACGAAAGAGTAGGGACCAGAGGAACCTGTTTCAGAAGATAGGCGAGACTGATTATTCTGTTGTCGTTCTAGATTAACAATGAAATCGAGGTTCTAAATGGAAAGCGAGTAAGATTTTCCTTCATTCTGGAAAATTATCATTGTATTTTCAGGTCGCTTTACACATGCCTGACACTCTTTTAAAAAATGTTATATTCATTTATCATCATCGAAAACATACCTGTCAGTAAACTTGACTGTTGTTTGTCACGGGAATTATTGTCCAGGTACGGTATACCCAGGGAAAACCGTGGGGATTTACCCACTCCCAGTAACACCATAAGCACGGCAAGCACATTGTACACCCAACGTCCGTTGTCAGTCACTTGGTCCTTCGTGGCTGGACATCTCTCATGTTCCTGTACGGAATCCTGACACAGCCTGACTCTTTGTTCAGAAGAATAGTTGGAGGCAAGATCATCTAAAGAAGGCAGCGATACAGGATTCATGAAGTGTAAGAGGCCCGAAATTAGACTAGAAATGCCATACAAAGCCACTCCGCAGGACAGGATCCTAGGTATAAAGCGCTTCCCCCCAAAATGGCTGAAGAAGAAAATAGCTGAAAGATAACCGATTTCGCTGCAGCTTAGGAGGAGGCCACTTTTTGTACTGCTGAGGCCAAACTGTTTCTCTAGAGCTGTGATCTGAGACACTGTGTAGTACTTGACTGACTCCAGCACCAGTGACGACATACTGAACACGGCAGTGAAGCAGAGGATGTTGTGGAAACACCGTCGTTGACGTCCTCCAGACTGAGCCATGGCGTTGACACTCACGCCGCTGGATGCCATCTTGAATATCTCCTGCCTGATTGTGACAGATGAAAGGTCATGTACATGTCTTATTGAAAAACAGACAAATCCACGAAACAATTTCTTTACATATGGAGTGAGTGAGTGAGTTAGGATTTTAAGTCACATCGGCAGTATTTCGGCCATATCGTGACTATATCAAGTTATATGTTAAGAATACTTATAGGTAAAGTATAAAAACCTGTCAACGAAGGACAGTAAAACAACTAGACTATCACAGATATAAATTTTAAAACTATTAATCAAAGTTAAAACATTGTAACCATAAATGACAAGACAATATAAAATCAGGTTATTGATCGCCAATAACTGAAGGCAGATCACCAAACTAGGGATCATGAGGAGTTACAGTGCCTTTGCTGCCTGTATGGAACCTAGCTGGATTTACACCATCCCTTCAGCTGCTGGCGGTTGTAGGGAAATTTAGCCATAATTGAAAATAACAAATATTCTACGTTTAAAAATTCTGGTAATTTCCTTCGATGGTTTTGGGACTTAATTTGGGGCAATAAGTTTACAGTACTTTAACCCCCTTTGAGGATACAGCCAGTCACTAATAATCAGAGTTACCAATTTAAGCTTTCAATCATAAAATAATTATCCATTTACAGATATTTCAACAAATATATTTCTTTTAAAAATGCAATAACTAAATGAGAACTGATATTATTAAACGATCCTTCATAGTATTTACATACGGACTTACCGGTTGTGGGAAAATAACATACAGACATCACTGAGTGACTGTTTTCTTGCCGGATTGCCAGTTTTGTTACTCAGATATTGGAGATGGTTTGTTGACTCGACTCAGCACTCGACTATGAGGTACATAATCGCTTAGGGGCCATGCGACACAGTGGCTGGCTACAACCACAAGGTCTGGACATATTGGTTCTCAACCAGCCTGGCTTTACATTACACCACTTGTGTAGCATGCTCTATAGACATGGGGCAATCGGGATTTGCATACATTACTACCTTCCACTTTACTCATTATTCCAATCAAGTTAAGCATAGGGTTGACATAGATGCCTTCGTCTAATTTGCTATGTACCGTCAGATGCATATCGCTTACTGCAAAAAAGTGGGTCAACAGACTATACATGCTTAGATGCCTAATGACTTACTGTATTAATGTTTTTTTCTTACGCAAAAGTGCAGCTGAATTATATTTGAAATGATGGACAAATACATTCGTCCCGTAACAAAGAAAAATTGAGAAAATATATTGAGAAATCATCTCATGGTTGTTTGTTTTGTTAGTATGTATGTATGTATGTATGTATGTATGTATGTATGTATGTATGTATGTATGTATGTATGTATGTATGTATGTATGTATGTATGTATGTATGTATGTGTGTATGTGTGTGTGTGTGTGTGTGTGTGTGCAGGTAGGAAGGTGTGTGTGTATATATGTAGGTAGGAAGGTGTGTGTGTGTATGTATGTAGGTAGGAAGGTGTGTGTGTGTATGTATGCAGGTAGGTAGGTGTGTGTGACTGTGTGCATGCGTGTCCTTGAGTACGTGACACATATAAACAATAGGTTTAGTTGCAAACCGGTTGCATCGGTCTGTTGATCATGAGATCTTCCTACCAACAGCAACTGACCATTCAAAACGCTTACCTTTACGTCCGTGCTCCGTGAGCAGAACTACCACGCTCTGGCGAGTGATAATAGGAGGTGGACCACTGTGAATTGAGAGATGCCCATGTAGCTTTATTTATCTACAGCTATAGGTTGCCCCACTGAACTTTCCTTTCACTTCCTCTCGTTAAACCAAGCTATGAGAATATGTATAGGGAACCGCACATAATAGAAGTTTTTGAAAGGCATTTAGAAGTTGGATGAACATGAATACATGACACATTTTTATGGATAACAACTTCTTTTTTATTCTTTACACGACGTTTCAGTCGTGACTGCGCATTCCTGCAATAACTGCGCATGGTCCACAGTTTTTAATTTGCAATATTTGTACCCCGAGTCGAGAAGGAATATAGGCGAAGATTCCAAACACAGCAGGTCCAGCCGACTTGTTTAACAGACAACAGTCAATATCTATCTCTGCAAAGTTTGCCTCTCCACGATCAAAGGGACTGTAACTGTAATCGGAGCTCAATATCGCGGGACGCACATAACATGTCCGAGGTTAAAAGCTTATCTATGCAAGGTTTGACCCATAGTCCAACCCTCCACGTTGTACGGGACTGGAGTCCCCTCATTTGTGGTCGCTATAGCTTGAGACGTACATAGCGTGTCACAGGTGCTCGTACATGACAATGCGATAAGACTGCAGATTACAAGTCCTCTGGTATACGTAATAGAGTATTCCAGATTACAAGCCAAGATGCATGCGCTCATAACCATTCTAAAGGCTTACCTGTATATCTTGACCCGTCACCTGAGCTGTCACGTTCTGCACAGGGACGCTACAATCCGGGTATTTCATATACGTCATCTACATGCTCCTGTCCGAGACAGCAGGATATGTAAACAAGCTCCTGTCGGCCATTGATTCACCCAAGTGGTGAACGTTTGAGACCTCCATCGCTCTGGGTGTTTTCAATTGAAATAGTCCGATTTCACCGTGTACACTTTCAGTGTGTAGGTTGAAATAAATGTCACTGACCATAAACGACTGAAGCACCGACTCCATGTTTTGTCATATATATATTTCCCTAGGTAAATTGTTTAGAGTAACTTTTGTTTGATGTTTCATAACTGATCCATTATTTGGATACTATGTCCTTTTGAAAAGGTACTTATTTTACCAGACCTCATTAACACAATCCTTGTGTTCTGTCACTGGAGGGTAATACATATTAAGGCTGTTTAGTGCAGTCCGAATCATTCCACTAATGATTTATTTATTGTATGAAATCGTATTTTTATCAACAGCTTTAGGTTGCCCCACTAAACCTTCCGTTCTCTTCCTCTCGTTAAACAATGCATTGAGAATATCTATCGTGAACCATTTAAATGTCACATTCAATATATTTTTGCCTGAGCCTTTTTGTATACCTAGAGTATTCATACTACAACTACACAGACGATTGGTTGCATGCAGTGTTTGTACCCCGGGAAGACAAACTATCGTCCCTCTCATCGACTTACTTTAGAGAAGCACAAGTCGTAAGATGAAAGAGCTTAGAAAACTGAACCCAGTGATGCCAAGTTTACCTCTCCACGATGCCCAGGACTGTAACTTGAGCTCGCTATAAAGTGGGACGCACATAACATATCACAGGTGCTCGTGCATGAGGCTGTAAATTACAAATGCTCCGGTGCGATAGAACTTTCCAGCTAACAAGTCTACAAGTACCCTTACATTTAAACCGGCATAACGCTTGACCCATGAACGGCAACGCGTGTGAGAGTAATAACATCTGCATTCCCCACATAGCACCCTACATTTCAGACACTCCAGTTTCAGACAGTTTCAACACACAGACATGATTCAGTCTTTGTCTTGTTTGAACAAAGGAATAGCCAATTGGATATCAGTTTTCATTACATTCAATGTCATTCATCCTTCTAACCTGACATGTCCCAGCCTGGAAACACCATCAATCTATTGCATATATGCATAGTACTATCACATTATTAGCCTACTATTATATTCTCTTATCTTCCTTCATGAAGCAAGATACTATGCAGATACTATACAGGCGTCTTGTGCGCCTGGGTTAGCAGTGCCTTGAGTCGATAAAGGCGAAAGTCAACTTCCAGGTACACCTTCCTCCTTTAGCGGGTGCAGGTGCCCTGGGTTAGCATTACCTTGAGTCAGTAAAGAGGAAACTAAAATTCCGGGTATACCTTCATCCTTTTGGCAGGTGCTGGACCAAAGTCCAACTGGATCATCTCCTGTTTGTTAGCTTCCTTGATACTTGTCATGACATAAATGAGTATGTAGAAATTGGGATGGTGGGGAGAGACTGGAATCGCTATCATTTGCAAATGATCATATTTTCCTAACCATCAGTGAAAAGAGGGAGCCGTTCTCAATCCAAGGTTTCCATCCTGGTACCGGAAGGTTAACGTTTTGTGGAAGTCTAGGATGGCGTGTTGTCTTCAAGCTGTCTCAGGAGCTTATGCTGATAGAGAACTGGCAATGGGGTTGATCGGAAATATTTCTTGGCGCATGGTTATATTCACTAAAGTTGCGGATAGATTCGCGGACTGTAATACATCTCACGATACATCTCCAGTGAATACAAGATTTTCTTGTGGCATTCTTGTTGTAGGAAAAGACTTGAGTTGTACCCTTCTGTGGCGTAAAATATTTCACTCTCTGTAAGTCTGCCATGACAGTGGCATACATATAACAAAATGCCTCCTATATATACTCTGGTGCATACTTTACTAAACATAAGCGAACAGAAGGCCACGACACAATTAGAGTTTGTGTAAGTTCTTAATACAGCGTGACAAGAGGATTAATTAGTGTATTGGAGTATGGGACCTTCATTGGACTGCTGATAACCATGCCGGTTTAGACAGTGTTAATTACAGTTAAAATTGCTTGTTGGGACCGGAAAGTCGTGCCGGAATACGGAATAGACAGGTACCGGATTGGACAATGTCTTAATGATCATAATATCGTTGTTAAATGGCGGGTCCAAAATTTTATGCCGGTTTTGGCAGTGTGCCGGATTAGACAGGTGCCGGTATTGGCAGGTATCACTGCATACACTAAACGCCAAAGGAACCGTTACTCTCCTTCGTTAATGACGGAAGTACCTATCTTCACCTGGCGTTGTGATGCGTGGACGTCCACTTCTTGGTCTGTCTACGGTGACTCCAGTCTGTCAGACTGGTGACTCCCGTCTGTCTGTAGCGCTGAATAAGTCTTATAACCGTGATACACTGGCATCCGAGGGCGTTGGCAACAGCATTGTATGTCGACCCCATTTGCACCATCCCAATGACTCTTTCTCTCTCTTCAGCTGTTAATCGTGGCATATTTATCGTACTT